ATAAAGTAAGCACGGTACAACCCCCCTAAAAAAAAAAACTTTAATAGGGGTTAAATCCGAAGCTAACAGGAAGTCTAAGTCAGAGGTTAAATTTGGAAGGAGGCTAAGACTTTTATTAAACCGGTTGCTGGGCTAAATCAATTCTCAAATTTGGTTAGTGCTAAGTCAAATACTAAAGTCGGGGAGTGGCTAACTCAGATGTTAAAAGAGGGGTTGGGCGAAATCAAATACTAAAAGCTTCTTTTTTTTTCTTTTTTTTTTGTACCATGTTCTTTCATGAGGTAGGCGATCATGACTCTCCACCTCGCTCTATCCCTTGAAGCTCTCAACAAGTTCCTTCGCTCTGCTTCCTTCACCAAACCACATTCTCTCATCTATTGGCTCAAGTCCGCCAGCTATGTCACACGTTGTTTTCCCTTGTCTCTCTTTCCTTGACTATCAGATTCTCCAGGCCTTCCTTCCTCATTATGTGTCAGAGAAACTTCAGCTGTCTCTTCCTGATATTAAGTACTAGCAGCATGGCCCGGCGTTGCCCGTGCTTGATTACAAAATCGTACGACTCATACAGCAATCGCTATCACTTGACTTAAAAAAGTTCTGCCCTTCCTTGCCTTTAAAGGAGTTCCCTTTGCCGTGCTGATGTTGCTATATGCCTTACTTCTTGCCTATCTCACACTGCAATTTTTTTCTAAGCTCTATACTAAACATTAAATCTGTTACGAAAAAAGAACTAAAAAAAATGAACACAAAACGATCAGATTTAAAAAAAAAGGACTCGTAACTGGAAAAACCGAATGAAAAATGAATTTTAACAACAAATATTTTTCACACCCATCCTAGTTCTGCGGAATCAGAATCAACGTTGAGTTTAAGGAAACGAATGAGCCACTTGGAGTAAAGTGCCATGCAGATTTAAATTTTTCCCACTTGTGATGAATGCAGCTTCCGATTTTTTTTTTTGCAAGATAGTTAACATTCGTGTCAGTCAGCTGTTGGATCTCAAGCTGGCCAATAGAATCTTCCTGCCTATTCGTGACAGCCAGCTATTGGCTCTCACTCTTACCAGTAGAAAATGGCCGCAAACTACATGAAAACTGCCGTAGAAGCATGAAAATATTGATTATTTCCACTATCGATGGGAGTTGGGAAATGCAACGTCGGTCTTGGCCTTCCCGCTAACTTGGAGTATGTGCATGTAAATTTTAGTTCAAAATTGCGGCCGTGCATTCGTTACACACACACACACACACACACACACACATCCTTCCTTTTATAGATAGAGATAATCATCCTCTTGTTTGCAACCTTTCTAAGATCTTATCGTTGTTCACCTGGTTAACTAAAAGCTAGTCGGTGCTAAATCTGATGTTATATTCATAGGAAGCCTAAGTTAGATGTTAAAAGCGTGTGGGGGTATAAATAGAGAGTTTACATTTTTAACATTGGCCATTTTCCCGCTAAAAAGGAATAGATTTTAGATCTATTATTCTATTATAAAAAATATTTTGTTTTGAATTTAAACGCATTTATTATTTGCTTTTCACTTTTACTCATTTTTGGAATGAAATCTAAAGTTTTTTTTTTCCCCCGATCATAAGTTTCGTATATAAAATCTTTAAAAACTAATGTTTAAAATAACTTAAAATTAAATTTTATTCAGACAATATTTTTTTTATTTAGTAAATGTAGAAGATTAATGGCAGCAATTTAATTTCTTATGGCACATTGTGAGGAAAGCCGGCTTAGAGAATATGACAGTCACAAGATATATTGAAGGCAAAAGAGATAGAGAAAAGCAGCGAATAACCTACTCAACGAGCTTGTGTAAATGGTTGGCAGAATAAGAAATGTGGAGAGACAGCATAAAGAAGCAATCTTTCAAAGAACAATAAGTTTTGGTGAGCCATTATAGTACACACCCTGAAAATGGTTTTAGTTAAATGATACAGCGTTACCAGAGACTGAGGCGAAGAAGACAGTTTTAGTCTTTTGTTCCGTTCTCCGTTCAAAGCTGGTTAGGCCTAAGGCTTTCTGCTTAAACATTATTACGTCGGCTTAAAGATCTGTAAGAAAATGAAAAGTAATCACATGTAATAAAATGTGTAAAGTAATAAGAATTTCGCTTTCATCAGTGAGCTGCAGAATCCTGGCCATTTAGAAAAAAGAAGCATTACTTAAACCTGCTAGAATATAAAGAATCGCGCTGGAATATTAACTCCAGTGTAAGACTTATAAGAAAACCTCCTTAATATAATCGGCATGAATATTGAAGATTTTACGGGAGCCGTTAGAACACTTGTTGTAGATTCATAGCAACAGCCCTCATATACTGATACTAAACATCATACTTTATTTCTGTCCGCTATTCTGATAATTACTTTAGTTTTTACTAACAATGAGGCTACAATAGATATATTCTGAATTTCTCGCGGACCAAATAGATTAACAACTGTTGGCAGTTGTTTTACGATGTATTGTAAAGGGAGAGGAAGAGAAATTAATAATGATGGAGACTGACGAATCAAGACAATAAAATGAACAAAAGCGTGAATTGGAATTATGAAGAAATGACTGGAAACAAAGCAGCTTTGCTATGAAAAAGAAATATTGATGGGAAGTTTTTGGCGCCACCCAAGGCTGTAAATTAACTGTATGAATATTTCAAATTGTATATGCATCCGGTTGCAAATTGAGATATAATTGATAAATAATATTGTTTTATTTTTAATGTTCTTGTATTATATTTAAATATATACAATGCAGGGGAGTTATAAATGTAAGTAAATAATATTACCATCAGCCTAACATTTATATTTACAAAAATACACTTATAAATGAAAAACAGCATGACGTGGAAACAACTAAACGAGTATTTAATATATTTTCTGTTTACTTTGTCGACACATGGCACAGTGGATAAAGGCGTTAGTTAGATCCAGTGACAGAACCCAAAGAATGTGAGTTCAATACCTGGTTAAGGCAGTGGAGAACTTGGAGAGGAGATTAACAGGAGATAACTGATAACTGAAATACATTAGACATGGCACGTGGAACTAGAACAGTCTACCCCAGTGAGCGTAATAAAGGTTTCAGTTCGACATTCCAAGCAAATGAAGAAGGTCGGAACGTACACTGGCCGAAAAGTTGTCATAAATATGGCGACAAAGTTGAGGACAATAGTCCGAATAATGTAAATAGTGTACATAATGCCTCATCTCAGGAATATAGACAGATATTTTCTGTTCATACGTTTTTTTTTATAGATAAAATTTATTAAAGTAAATGTTCTGTTTTTGTTTTTTAAATAAGCAGTATTAATTACATTTACCTGCCTAAATGTTAGCGAAATTTCGTAGAATATATGCGTTCTCCGACAGGAATCGAATCTGTGTCAATTTATCTGACGTGCTATACCACTCAGCTACAGTAAAGCGTCTGGCTAGCAAAGTTCAAATTATGGTTTATAAGCAAGAATTCCTTGGATTTTGCTAACCAGACTCTTCTCTCGAGCTGAGTGGCATACCACGTCAGATCAACTGACGGTTACGTATAGAATACAGGTTCGATTCCTGTCGGAGAATTTTTTTTTTTTCCGAAACTTCTCTAACATTCATGCAGGTAAATTTAATTAATGCTGTTTATTTAAAAAAAACAAACAAAAAACAGAGAATTTACTTTAATAAATTGTATCAATAAAGAAAAAAAAACGTATAAACAGAAAATATATTAAATAATTGCCGGGCTTAATCCATTTCATAAATGGTATTATCTATTTCCTGGTTGTTATGTGACCTTGGAGACACGAGAGACAGTAAGAATGAGAAAAATTTGGCCAAAAATATATGGTTCAGGATTCAATATAATGATAAGGTAAAGTAAATATTGTGTATACTGTCTTTCACATATTATTTATTGATATGTGTAATGATTATCCATATAATTTAGTTAGAGAATACATTAATTATTGTTTATGTCTGGAGATGGACTTTTAATGGTTGATGACTATTGGTACATTTTTTTATTTCTGCGGGCATATTAGTTTCGTTTGATGTGGATGTGAAACGTGACAAAAATGTCTTTTGAAATCAGTTCATATAAAAAATATTAGAAAGAAAGTGATAAAAAAGAAGAAAAAGGTACAATAATGAAAGAAAAGAAAGATATGAGTAGAAAAAGAGAGCGTATAAGAAAGAATTAAAAGCAGGAACAAGGAAAAAGAAAGGTGAAAGATTAAAAGGGGCGGTCAGTAGAGAAGGAAGTGATATGTAAGAAAAAAGTAAGCCTAATAAATAAGCAAAAAGAAATAAATAAAGGAAGATTAAAAGAGCACTAAAGAAAGAGATGACATTAGAGAAAAGGAAAGACTAAGAGAGAAAGAAAAAGAAGAGAAAAAATAGAAACAAAATACGCCGTAATGAAGAAGGCAGTCACAAGTAAAGTAAAGAAGGTCTAAGGGAGAAGAAAGAAAGAAAGAAAGAAAGAAAGAAAGAAAGAAAGAAAAAAAGAAAGAAGACAAAAGGAAAAAATAAAGACAATACATACAAACATGAAGAGATAAAAGAAAGGAAAGGTGAACAAAAATTGAGAAAGACAAAAGGGAAAAAGATATGCGAACATATAAGCAATGGAGAGAGAGATGAAATTATATATATATATATATATACACTTGTGGCAGATAATTCAAACTATATCTATAATTATTACTGTTTTGTTTATTTGCTGTATATACACGTTTGTACACACCTGAGGTATTCAGATTTTTGCACAGAGAAATCTTTTAAAGCTTACACCCACGTACAACAATGATCTAATTATGCAAACTGTCGGACTTTGCTTTGGAATTGCATAAGAAGCAAGACAAGAAATGTTCCTTTTAAGGTGTTACTGTCTCGAGGTTTTATTACACTCTGTTCCTTGGAGATTAACACATTTTCGACAAATGGTAGACTGTTTCTCAGCTTGGAGATTATTAAAAAGGAAAGGAGTGTACTGTAGTTTTCATGTATGATAAATTATATAACACTTCACTATCCTATATTCATATTTGTTTATTACACATCTATCTATCTATCTATCTATCTATCTATCTATCTATCTATGTTCGTTCCATATTCCATTATTTGGATAAAATGAAATTTTTCTCGCATTTTCACCACATTTTGATAAATATTTCTCTCAAAATCTATGTTTCTGTCTAACTGATATCTATCTCAGTTCTACATTTCTATCTTTTCATATCAATCACATTCATATATATATAATGGCTCGGACGGAATTGTTAATCGCAAAGCCAAGTCCCATTTCCGTTGGATTCTTTATATTAATGTAACAGCAAATACCCATAAAAAAATTAGGAATCCACATCTTCTCCCCAAGTTATGGATTAATTAGTAAGAATTGCATCACTAAACAATTAGTATAATCCAAAATTATGTACAGAATTTAAACAAGCCGCACATGTTTGATAAACCATAGAAAACGAATCAATCAATCCCTCATTTATCGATCTATCTATGTCTATCACTCTCTCTCTCTCTCTCTCTCTCTCTCTCTCTATATATATATATATATATATATATATATATATATATATATATATATATATATATATATGAGTGTGTGTGTGTGTGTGTCTGTATTGCAACAGAGGTATGCTGATAGAGTTTTGTAAGAGATATGTTCTAAATATTGCTGCGCTCAGCAGAGTCTCTAATGAAGAAAAATGCAGACAGTATGTCTGCATCAATCATTAAAATAAAAAAAAATTGCTACTTGGCTTCAACAAACAGCATTTCACGTCATTGAATTTTTATGTCTTCAGCAACGACCAAACGAGGAATCACATCATATATATATATATATATATATATATATATATATATATATATATATATATATATAGATTATATATATATATATATATATATATATATATATATATATATATATATATATATGTATGTATGTATGTATGTGTGCGTGCGCGCGTGTTTGTTGGTTATATATATATATATATATATGTAGGTATTTACATGTGTATGTATTTACATAAATATTAACTAAAAGACAATGATGCGTACTCGAAAATGTTTTGTGTATATACATATATATATATATTTATATATATATATATATATATATATATATATATATATATATATATATCCTTTTATATAAAGCCTTTTGTATAATTATGTGTATATATATGCATACGCATATAAATACACACATATATATATACATATTTATATAAATACACACTTATTTATATATATATATATATATATATATATATTTGGTTGGATAGATGTGAGTTTGTGACCTGGGTTTCACGCTTTAGCGATCGGCAGACATTGTCGCTAAAGCGTGAAACCCAGGGTCACAAACTCACATCTATCCAACCAAATATGTTAGCTTTCTGATATTGAGCCTTAATAATAATATATATAAATAATTATACATACTTATATTTATTTATATTTATATACACTTTTCACACACACACACACACACACACACACACACACACATATATATATATATATATATATATATATATATATATATATATTAATTCATTTACATGCACATGCACACACAATGTTAATTCACTTATATAATTTATTATATTCTTATATAGATATTGATAGTGTGTACATAGATATTAATAATCCATGTTGATCATCAGTTTCACACCATTAAGATATAAAATACTTCTTTCCTCTAAGCTAGCAAATTCAAACCATATATTTATTTATATTTATATGTACACTGTTGCATATTTATGTAAATGTGTGTATGTATATCTATATTTCTATCTATTTATATATGTATATATGTGTGTGTGTGTTTTCTCTGTGCGTGTGCATGTAAACTAATAGAATTTTGTGCATGCGCCAAAATGTACATGTTTCACGTGTATTCGTCTTGTCAAAAAGCCTTCTTTAATCGAGCACAGGCGACGCGTCTCTTCGAAGTTACAAGAAATTAAATTATTCCAAGACTAAATATCAAACCGTCAAAGTGTCTTTATGCATGTAAATGTATAATCATATAATATAATGTGGGATTGAGATGATAATGCATATAATATTTGGGAGCCCGTGTCTGTGTTTATGTGTGTGTGAGTCTCTAGTAGATATTGCGTTCGTTATTTTTTCGTATGTTTAATTGGGAACCATTTGTTTAAATAAACGTACGTTAGATTCTTTAAGAATGGATTCAATAAAGGTTTCTTTCTTCTTTTTCTCCATATCTCATTCTCTTACGAAGCTTTAATAAAAGTAAAACATCAGATTGATAACCGTTTCGTATTTCTTCTTTATCCGATCATGCGTATGTATGTATATATGTGTGCACTTGCGTGATTTTGTATCGATATAATCAGAGTATATTCATGAATTTATGATCACCCTTAGAGTTTCGTGGCTTGAATTTAAAAGACAATATTCGTTCTGAACTTGTTTAGTTAAAAAAGAATAGAAATGATTTTATAAATAGGCTTGAGACAATAGATGTTAGCGAATAATTTTTTTTCCACGTCTACCGCAACAAAATCCCGGGAGACATTATATGTTTCTCTCACACACTAGGAAATATATCACACATTGTGGATACAGTGAACTTGTTTCCCGATATTACGAGAATGTTCTTCTATATACCTTCTTCAGGTACGATTTCTGTAGCTCATAGCAGTCGTTTCTTCTTTTCCACACACCCCTTCTCTTTGTTCTGGTTGCTATTTACACAAAGATATCATTACGCTAGGTATGCCACTTGGCTTCGATACATCTTGTGAGTATCAGATTCTCTAGACTCTCTTTCCTCAGTATATCTCCTAAAAATCTCAAATCTCTCTTTCTGCTTCTAAATCTATATAACTCTATGTTTACCATTCGTCTATGCTTGAAATATTGCTGCCATATATGGCCCGGGCCCCTTGGTATTTACGTTAAGTTCCTTGATAAGATCCAAAGAAGAATCAGCAACATTATTGGCCAAGATTTGCCGGCTTGTGTTCAGCCACCGCCGTAAGGTTGCATCTCTACATCGTTTCTGAAGTTATGCAAATCAAATAAACCACAATAATTCAAAAAGTTCTGAACCAATATTTTTCAAATTTAGCCTCGTCCATTTCCACATTTAATAAAATATTTAATTAAATTGTTTGCCATTGTCAATATGGTTAGTTTTTGCGATATTGGGAATTTACAAAAACGGCCTGACTGAAGTTATTAGGCAGATTAAACTAATATTAGTTTAACACCTCTGAAATTTAATAAAAAATATTTTTGTCCATAATATATGTTGAAAACTGGGTAAAGGAATGGATCTAACAACGCAACCTACTGCGGCGACCTACGGCGGGAAAAAAATCTGCCTCCTTTGTCACATATCGAAAGATACATGATCGCCTACCCATGTACCACGCATGGCACATAACTGACTGGTGGGGGTGATATTGATTAAAAAAAAAAATGTAGGACAGTCTTTTTGTTCACTTAAACTTCGTTACTTACATGCTCCAGGCCTGATATTATCAGCATCCTTATCAAGAGCAATGTCTCTGTGATCCCAAGTCTCCTAATTATCTTTCAGGAAATTCTCCAGCATTTACAATAATATATTCAGGTTGTATCTGCAGTGGTAAGCAGGATTTAACAAGCAGTATTCCATTTGATGTATGGACTAACATTTCCAGAGAATGGAATTCTTTACCTTTTTGCAGACATGACATGACACGTCGCGTTCCTTGCCAGGCGGCGAAAAATTTGTTATGAGTAAATCACATCTCCTCTTTTTGTAGTGTAAAGTTTACCAGTCATGGCCCATGGGTATCGCACTCTTGTGTCAATCTAAAACTTGACTTATAAATAATTCTCAAACAACTTAACAAGAAAATACAATGGGCATTCTAGGAAAATATTGATTACTTGTTTTCAGAAATATAATTATGATATATTAGTGGACTTTAAGTGAAGTAGAGGGTATTATATGGGATAAGTGGTCATTTAGTGAAGTGAAAGGCATTATCTGGAACGCAAATATTCAAATTAATTCAGATATATATGTATGCTATATGTGACCTCGTTTCCAAAACAGGAATTAATGTATCAAATATTCATACGTATTTTTTTGCACGAATTATTTTATACACAATAAAAATACCGTATGATCTGGCGGATTATGTTTCATAAAATATATTGATTATATATATATATATATATATATATATATATATATATATATATATATATATATATATATTTATATAACCCACTTGAAACGTATACGTTGAAAAAATATATATATAGAAATTTTATTAAGAAACAGACAACTTTATGAAAATATGAACTATACATATATATATATATATATATGTATATATATATAATGTGTGTATGTGTATATATATGTGTGTATATATATATATGTGTGTGTTTATGCGTGTGTGTGTGTATGCCTATATATATGTGTGTGTGTGTATGCGTGTGAATATATATATATATATATGTGTGTGTGTGTGTATGCGTGTGAATATATATGTGTGTGTGTGTGTGTGTGTGTGTGAATATATATATATATATGTGTGTGTATGCATGTGAATATATATATATGTGTGTGTGTGTGTGTGTGTGTATATATATATATATATATATATATATATATATATATATATATATATATATATATTTTTGTGCGTGTTCATGCACATATGCATCCTTATTATAATCGCAATAGCAATCAAAAGGAACTATTTAAAAAAATCTAAATAAATGAATTAAAATCACGATAGTAATATATATAATTCTTCCGAATGTATTCTATAAGGTTCTTTTTTTTACCTGCATCATTTTTTACCTGCATCGTCAATATCTGATTATAGTGTGTCGTATAAATCACGGTAAAATGTAATTATCTATCGCCATGTTTTCATTCATATATTATTAATATAAGGTTGTTATTAGTATAAGGCCTGAGCAAATATAACTTGTTTATATCAACTCACAATTTCCGTTGAAATTTGATGATTTTCCTATTTTAAATTACTGATTAATCACAAACCTTAAGTAAATGATTAAATAAGCTTCTTGCTTGTTCCACGACTGTAAAATATCGATAAAAATTCACCTGCTACATCGTTAAATATTTGAGCTATGCAACTTTAACAATTATTGGAATGACACGCCCAAGTACGAATACAAGTCATTGATACAAGAAGTGAGTGAATACAAATAAAAGATTAAACTTCACACGTTTATTTTTTTAACTGAACCTGACATTAAAAGCATAAGTGCGTTTTCGACTTCTTTATCTTTCCTTTCTTGAGTGACTTTATATATACTGATAATTAACTTATATGGTATGTATTGTTAGATCTGACTCATGGCTTGGAGTTTTTATTGATGTAAATAAAAATAAGCTATTTTCCTCCTTTTTCCATTTTGTTGTATCTTTTTGCATGAAAAGAAATATAAATTATTATCATGTACCGTATATTTCTGCGTATTAGGCGAAATATATAAATATTATAACTGACAAAAGCCGTGCAATGTCCAAGGGTGTCACAAGCGTATCATTAATAAGAAAGGAAGAATACTGAAAGTAAAACTTATATACATAAGTAGAAATCATCCGCCGTTGAGATTTGAGAAAAAAAAAGAGGATAAAATGTTGGAAAGAACAACCGAAATAATTAACTTTGGCAAAAGTTTTATATTATTTAGTTATTTGGTTAGATAGACGTCAAATATTTTCCTATGATATGGATTAAAGTAAATAGCTGGAGATAATTAATTATTTCCCAGCAGTAAGAGAAAGTTTTTAAAAAGCAACATTAAGTTACAGCAATTGTCGACTTCGTGTCTTAGATAATTACGCATTTCTAATTAAATGTTACATGACAGTTTGTTTACCTCACCTAAAAGTCGCTTTTACAAACTCAAAATAACACACTCTGCGCAGAAATATAGCCTAACGCAATATTCTTCATACAGCTTTCCTCATAATAATGTGTTTAATAACAAATTGATACTAAAATGCTGTTTTTAGTAAAAACGCAGGGGATGGTGTATTAAAATTATATTAGTATTTTCTAAAAGGTTATGGAACGACATATCAATTAATAGAATATTATAATTGTGCAACTCACCGCAGGACACTGCTTCGCAAATTTGTCTGTAGAAATATAATTAGAATAGTATGTTTGCATTTGATGTGTGCGAGATTGCTTTCGAAGCATCTACGTTCTAACTATTAGACGCGAGTTCGAATTTCACTATGACAGGAAGAATAGTTTTTTGTTGATAACGGCCTGGGGAGATGATCTCTATGTGCATCATCTTTGAAAAGTATCTTAAAGCCGTACCACTCTGTTGACGCAACTATTCGGAAGGGCTTGGTAAGTTTAAGTATTAGTCAAGAAGTCAATATCATTTTATATGAATTCGACTTGTGGGATTAAAGTCTATGGACTAAAATACTTTCAAAATAGATCCAGTTTTTGAGTTGATTTAAAATTAGTAAAAGATGTAGTATACGAATATAATTCGAAGTGAAACTTTTTTCTTACAGTTATCCCGTATTAATTATGTTGTCTTGCATTTATGCGGAAATATATCAGCATTTTCGTTTCAATTTTGATACGGATAAAGCTTCGCAGCTTGAATGAAACGGTGAGACTACTAACTTCCGTAATGCTTTGTGTCATCCTATAAATGGCTAAGTGCCGTTTTTTTTTAAGATTGACTTCATAGAAATTAAGCTATTAATTGGCTGAAAATTTATTTTATTCTTTTCATTATTATTAAGGTTTGGTTGATTCTAAATGTCGCGTTGATAACCGAACATGTTTATCACTGACTAGATTATTTTCCCCCACAAGGTTCACACAATACAAGTCTCGAGAACCAATCAAGGTAGAGGATTACTGTTAAAATTGTAACAATGAATAAAGTGTGCGATATGAGTGAATAAAAAATGAGTGGTTACGAAGGGAATATTATCATAAGATAAAATATAGAATGACATATCGTTTAGTTGAAGAAGTTAATATTTTAATTTTTTGGTGGATTTTGTTTAGCGGCTATATGTTACGTAATGCTGAAATCTAAATATTTTATACATAATTGTTGTGCTTTCAGCTACAGATAGTTTGTACACAATTTTATGCATTCAGCGTAAACGTATATCTAAAAATATAAATAGTTTGCATATCATAAAATGTATTGTTAGTAATTTTACTATAAACATATATTTTATATATTATCTGGTGTTGAATGATTGTCATATTACTGTAAAATGTATTGTTGGTCATTTTTTTTATGAAATGTATTGTTGATCTTTGTTTGTGTGTTCACTATTTGCCCATCGCTGGAACCTTAACAGCTGCTTCCACCCTGGGTCAGGGTAGATCTGGGAACAATAGCAGTTAAAAGGTGGTTCCATGCTCCTCAAAACATTCAATGTCCCGATCAGAATCAGTCAAGACGAAAATATAAATTTATACGAATTCCACTTGTTGAAT